CTCAAGAAACATGTCTTTTTATTATCAGTTGAAAATATTTTTTAGGTAAACTGTGATCCATTTTTCTCCAAATGCTTTGATGAATAAAGAGTTCAAAGCAACATCATTTACTTAAAATAGAAATATTAACTGCCAATTTTGATCACTTTAATGCGTCCTTGCTGAATAAAATGAATAATTTGATGAATAATAAGGATTAATAAGATAGTAGTACAGAGACTGAGTATAATGGTCATGTGATATCAAGATGGCGGCCAGCATTAGGGTGGTCTATGTAGAACAAAACAGCTTTTCCAGACTAATCTTTACCTCATAAACATTTGTCATATTTGCTGTAGTTGTAAAACTATTTCAGGTAAATAAATAAACTCTGTTTCACCTTAAATATTAGAAACTAGGTTTTTCTAATTCATGAACAAAATCTGAAGAAACTGTAGAAAATCCAGCCAGATTGCTGGAAGAAGTCCGTGTTCAACTCTCCTTAACAAGCCACGCTATTTTAGCTATTACTTATGTCTACAGCACAAACAGAGTGGGGAGAGTTGCATACCAAAGTTTACTTAACAGTGCGATAAAACAAAAGGTAGTGACAGATCTGTATTGTGACGTACATCAGAGTGAAATCAAAAAAGAAAAAAATATGTAGGGTGTGGACTTGTTGATTTGATAGAGGCAGATCTGAATGTGGTATGAAAGGCTTCACAAGTACCTGTGTGCAGCATCTGGGTCGGCCTTGCGGTGTGAGCGTTTGGCTTTGAGTATGTGTCGTCTCTCAGAAGAGTGGATGGATGGGCTCAGTGAACTGGAGTTCAAACGAGGGGCATCCGGCCTCGTTCTACAATAAAGCAAGAGCGGATATCAGAGCAGTGTACACCCCCACACATGCCTCCAGACCTTTCAAGAACAACTCTGACTCGAAACCAGAGAACTCACTTTCTCAGAATGATGACAGCTCTCCTCTCCTTGATGTCCTGTGGGCGGATGCAGTGCGTGATGTCATCGGCTGCATAGCCACTAAAACCAATCAAAGCAGTGAGCATGAGCAAGAACTATATTTGATAACATTTTAGCACAATTACAAAGCACAAAATAATATGTTTTTAGATTATAGCTTACAATGAAAAGTTAATAAATCATACAATTTAAATAATTAATTTAAAAAATGAAATGCTTTATGCTTATTAAAAAGGATTAAATATTTTACTAAATAAGTTAAAGGGCTACAGCTGAAACAAAAAGGGAAGGGAATTTCTTCCTGTACTATGGTAAAAACATGGTTTTTGGACTTTACCAAGATGGTAACGCCTTAAATTATTGTGGCAGTATCATGGTACAAGTGGTTGTAATACTAAAGTATATTGAAATATACCATGTTACTGAAATTTATGTACAATATTGTTTGCATGATATTTCCAAGAACACCATGGCATGAACACGGGGTTATCATAGTTTAATAAATCCATAAAACACCATTTTTGTTACTTAAAATTAAGCGTTAAGTGAAATAAAATATAACAATATTAAATGTTAAAGTTATTTAAGCTAGTTTCCAAGGCAACATTTCTTATATTCATTTAGTTTAACTTGATGTACTACAATTACTAGAACTGAAATAAAAAGAATGCAAAGAAAACTACAAAGACATTTAAAACATCCAATAAATATTACAACAACAAAATTACTACAACTTTCAAATGAAAACGGAAAATATAAAAACTGAAACTGATCCACAAAATTTATAAATAATAGTATCTCAGTGATACTAAAATAATACTTGAACCAAAGCACGTAAAATAATATGGTAAATAATAAATCATGGTACTTTTTTGTGCCATATTTATCTTTTGAAGTACCATGTAAAAACCATAGTATATGAATATGATAATTACAGGGAGGGCACCATAGCATAAATCAAGGTATCATTGGTATACCATATCACACATACAACTCAACTTGCAAAACTGTACCAGAACGTATTTTGATGGGATTTTGGGCATGCACCATAATAGTAGTATGGCACCAGGGTATATTTCAAAATACCATAGTATTACTATTACTGTACAGCCACTTTTTGGTAAGGATATATACATGGTGTTTAAAACAGGGCTGTCCAAACTCGGTCCTGGAGGGCCGGTGTCCTGCAGAGTTTAGCTCCAACCCTAATTAAACACACCTGAACCAGCTAATCAAGCTCTTACTAGGCATAGAAACCTCCAGTCAGGTGTGTTGAGGCAAGTTAGAGCTAAACTCTGCAGGACACCGGCTCTCCAGGACCGAGTTTGGACAGCCCTGGTTTAAAAGAATCCCATAGAAACAGCATGTTCTGGAAATGAACTGAGACAAAGCAGTGTCCGCACTAGTACCGACCTGAGGACGGTGACGCTGCCGCGCCCGACGGGCAGGTAGAGCACCGGCTCGGACACACGGATGGGCTTGAACTGGAACTTGCAGCCGAAGCAGAGCGCGCTGTCGCTGAAGAACGACACCGACACTATCGGCCGCTCGAAGATGTGGATGGGGTCCACGTGCGACACGATGCAGCCCCCGGGCTGGTAGTCATTGATCACGGCGCTATTAACGAAGCCCTCCGGTATGACGCCGTGCGTCACGAGGCGATCGATGACCAGCTCGTGCACCCAGTCCGGTATCTCGTCCACCTCGCCTCTGGAGTACAGCCGCTCCTGCCCAGGCCCGCGCTTCTCCAGCTGCGAGCCGTACGTGTAGCCCTCGCCGAAGAAGTACTTGTTCCGCAGCGGCGCCCGGTCCACCGTGTGCTCCCGGTAGAGCCCCTTGTCTGCCTTGGCGACCACCTCGTCTATCTTGGCCTCGATGCACACGCACTCCTCCTGCGTGAAGATTTGCGCTTGCTTAACGCTGCTCTTGACTTTCCGCGCTTCCTCGTCGCGCCGCTCCTCGTCGTCATCCGACTCGCGGTACTTGCGCTTCTCGCCGTTACTGTACTCGAAAACTTTGTCCCTGTGCGGCGTCATCGACTTCAGCTTCTCCCGCAGATCCGTAAAACCGGCCATTTTCAAGAGCAAAGTACGAAAAACTGCGGCAAAAATGTTGTTTGACCTGAATTCGCCTCAGGTCCCCATTTTATAACATTAGTGTCGGTCACTGAAGTCGTGCGCGACGTGACCGAAGGCCCGGTGCCGCCTGCTTCCTCTTCCCTCCGTTCAGCAAATTAAAACAACCAAAGTTTCCACTGCCCCATTCCACGAGCAACCCGACCGAATCGGTAACGCAAAGCAGTGAGTGGGTTGTCAATCACATGCGGCGTTTCCCTGCGTTCAGTGCTATAACATTAGCACCTAGCACAGCTAACGTTACGCCACCACTAGCTTCCAGTGGACCCAGGCTTACTGCTGCATGTTGTTTAAAGCCCACGCCTTCTGCTCGCTGCAACCGCCGTGCTGATCAGCCTATTTTAATGTATCCGAGAAATAGTAGTTATTATGCTGCTGAAAGATTGCACAAAGCCGTGGAGAGAACATAAACTCGTGGAACCAAAACTGTTTGGCGAGCTGCGCATGCGCGTCATGCTTTGCGCGGTAGCCAAGAGGGTCTGGTCCGTGACAGCCAATGAGCGACGCGATCAGCTGTCAGCAAACCCCTGCGGCTATAAAAATCAATTTGATCAAATTTCAATCAATTTTATTTAGCGATCTTTACAAATTATCATCACGAATTTATTATTATTAGCGCTGTCAAACGATTAATCGCATTCAAAATAAAAGTTTTTGTTTACAGAATATGTGTGTACTGTGTATATTTACAATGTACCGGTATATATAAATACACACAC